ATTACACAGATTTACTCCTCCCGTGACTGTTTTATGTAATTCTGGAGGTGGAAGCAAGGGCCAGGACCTTGAAACCAGAGTTTTGTGCACTGAAGGCAGTCACTTTACCCACAGTGGCATGTCCACAAACCTAAATTTCTTTTCTTAAGGGTGGCTAAAGAGATTGGCTCAGCAATTAAGTGCAGAGACCCCAAGTTCAGTTCCTAGCACCCACATGGGTAGCTCACATCTGCCTGCAACCCAAGCTCCAAGGAATCCAGTGCCTCTGACTTCTGGGTGCATCTACAACTCAAGAGCACACATTTACACACAGACACATGCATATAATTGAAAACATAAATCTTTTTTAAAAAATTCATTTTCTAATAAAACTTCTCAGTTAGCCTGTTTTGATGTGTGACCCCTGCCCCCAATTGTGAGTTTTATTTCATGGTGCTGGAGATTGAACCCAGGCCCTTGTGGGTTGGGGGATGTGCATGTACATTTGCCAGACATGCTCTACAACTGAGGTACCTTCCCAAACCCTTGACTGCTTGTATAATCCAAAAAGTGCTTGGATCAATCATAGCCCAGGAGAAGTGTTACCCCTCTGGCTAAGACAGAAATGGTTTGTCCAAACTGACCCCACAAAAGCCTGGTATGACATATTTCAAACAACCCTAAGTCTGTGTTCTAGAGCCAGGGTGATCTGTGACAATCCTTTCTTCAATCCTTCTGTTCTTCCTTTTATTTCCTTCTTTGTTTCCTCTGGTATATGTGGGGTGTGCACATGCCTATAGGGGCCTTGATCCCATTCACTGTCTTCTACAACTGTTCTCCACTTTATTAAAACAAGTCTCTTACTGGACTCAGAACATGACGATTCTGGGTGTCTATCTGGACAGCTTTCACCAGGGTCCCCTATCTCAAGTGCTGGAATGATGGGCAGACACCACATCTACCCAGCCTTTACTGTTAAATGGGACCTAGAAATCCAAACTCCAGTCTCCAAGTTTTCAGAGCAAGTGCTTCCTCCATGAAGCCGTCTCTTCCCTATCCCTTCCCCTGCTTTGTCTTCTTGACAGGAGTAAATAAACACAAAACAACTCACGTGTAGCACAGGCTACCCTTGAACTTGCTATGGAGTGTGGCTGGCCTTAAACTCCTTTTCCTCCCACCCCTACCTCCCAAGTGCCATCAACAGCAGCCTTGTGCATAGTTCTCTCAAGGTGTCCTCGGAGTGTTCCAGATGGCTGGCTCAGGCATGAAGACAGTTGGGTTTGCTGTCTAACTGACAGTCTTTATGCCTATAATGATGGGCAGCAAAGAGGCCAATAGCTTCCAACTAAGAAGTCAAGTCCCCCACCCTGGTGTGTTTATTTGCTGGAATATGAACATCAGAAGAGTACTTACAAATATAAACTTAGCATATCATAAACATTAACAGTGTAGGGAACTTCAAAATCAGCTCAACACACCCTAAGACCAAGCTCTCAGCACACAGGAGATTTATTTGTTCCAGGGGAACAAGGGCATGTAATAAGAGACAAAGACAGGAGACAGAGGATGAGGGAGAAGAAGAAGGGAACAAAGGAGAGGGGGAAATAGGTGAGGGAGACGGGTAAGGGGTATTTGTCCTGGAGGACAAAGGCCTGCCCCTGGATAGAGATGAGACAGATGTTGCGCATAGGAAATGGCAGTTTATTAAAGTATAGGGGAAACCTGTGTTAGGATAAGGTTTTAATTTTAATTGGGCAATGTTAATTGGATGAGCAAAAGGTTTTTTCCCCTTTTCTGGACTTCATTGGTCACTTAAGATCCGTCCTTTGTAACCCTGGCAACCGCTGTTCTGAACTTGGTCTCCATGAGTTAACTATTTTAATTTATATGTGCCCTCTGGGCCTGGCTTCTTTCACTTAGAGCAGTGTTCAAATTCACCCACATTGTTCCAAAACAAAACCAAAACAAAACAAAAACCCCACGATTTTCTGACTTTTAAATACCTAATTTGCAAATCAAAAAACTACAATCCAGAGAAATTAGACAGCTTCCCAAAGCTCAGGATTGTCATCGTGCTAAAATTCTGATAGCAGAGTCTATGAACTCTAGTGACTTATCTGAAAGTGATGATTCTTGGTAAGAACAGTGTTTATTGGCTTCTCCCCTCCCCCATCCAATTATTTGTAACGGCCACTTCTACCTTTTAAAATAATTGGTGGGAGGGGATGTGGAGGTGAGTGCACCCGTGAATGGCTCGTGTGTGTCAGTCAGAGGACTTGTAGGAGTCAGTTCTTTCCATTTACCTCGTGGGAGTCAGGGATTGAACTCAACTCGGTCAGACTGTGCAGTGAGGGACTTGTCTACCGAGCACTCTGCCAGCACTCGGTCCTCTTTTATTTACAGCTACACAGGGAATTTGATTTTATTTCAAAAGCTTGAAGGAAATTTGATTAACTTTTTTAATTTAAAAATTACATTGTGTGTGTGTGTGTGTGTGTGTGTGTGTACTCGCACGAAGGTCAGATGGCAATGTCTGGGAGTTTGTTCTCTCTTTCTGCCATGTGGGACCTGGGGACAGGATCCGGGTAGTCATCGGCTTGGGCAGCAAGCCCCTTGACCCCTATGCCATCTTATCATCCCAAGATTAACTTGTTTGTACTATTTTCACACACTATGTCATTGTGGTCGAAGCATTTGCACAGATTCTTTATGGAAACCAAAATTCTCTTTTTGACATGGAACACAAGAAATTGGATGTTGTCTCCTAGAGTCTACAGCATTCTTGTTATTTATTTATTTATTTATTTATTTATTTCCTTTCTACTGACTCTTGTAAAGGCTAAAAGCAGTATTAAAATCCATTGCAGCCAGGCATGGAAACGCATTCCTATAATCTCAACAATTAGGAAGTGGGACCAAGAGAGTGGCCGGGTAAAAAGACTAGGAAAATTATTCAGATACAGGAAGACAAAGCAGCCCTTCACTCCAGGGATGGAGTGAAGTCTCTTGCTTGCTGAGAATCCCAAGACGAGGAACAACTGCTTCAGGCCTTTCTCTCTTCCTAGTGGTAAACCTGCAGTTTTTTAGGAATCTCACTAGAACCCCCTCTGAGGTAAGAAACGTCCTAATTCCCTGTGCAACTCTAATTGACTCTGGATTTCTCTTATAAGATTGTAAATTCATCGAAGGTTCCTCTAGTTTAACGTTCACTATTGAAAAGGAGGAAAAAGTAAAAATTCTTAACAATCCTTTGAGATGTCACTTGAGGCCACCAAAATAGTACCTATGGCTAGACCTAAGACACTGAAGTAGAACTTTGAGAAGTCCACACCCATACTCCAGGGTTTGCCTTGTTTCCCTGAGCACCTTTTTAATGATCTCCAATTCTGCTTCTTACTGGGTCATCCCCAAAGTCCTTTCTGCAGTAAAGTCGGGGATTCAGTTTCATGTGGGTTGAGGTCCCTAAAAGTTTAAGAGAACTCACAGCTGTTGTGTCTGGCTCTGCTGCCAATGGCAAGACTGTTCAGAATTAAGTCATTTTTGGCTACGTAGCAAGCTTGAACCCAGCTTGAGCTATATGAGACCCTATCTTTAAATAAACAAATAAAATTGCAGCATTTTCCAGTTTTCAGTGGTGTGAATTCTGCTAAATACCCTACTATCCTCTTGGTGGCTTACTGCTTTGAAGTCGTTTATTGACCTTTAGCGGCAGCTAACATTTATTGAAGACTCACCCCTTTCTACCTTCTTTATTTGGAGCTTCCTGAATATTATCAAAAACAGTTCTAAGGATAGATAAGTGTGGATCAAGGAAGTACTGAAGGTTTTCTTAAAAATGTAAAATTATGAACAGAAAACTAAGTACGATGGCCAATGTTGATTTGGGATGAGAAAATAAACTGTTACCAATAAAGAGATCTCCCTGGTATTTAGCAGACAATGCTGACTGTAAACTTCCCCATCTACAAAATCAAACGTCCAGTAGCCTCTGCAAGTCTAGGGGGGCTCCTTAGTTTCACCATAAATTTGCTTGTCGTAGAGTGGAGGGTAGGGTAGGTGTGAGCACTATCCATCCTTACGTGAGAAAAACTTAGCAGTGAAAGTTGCTCAACACTGGGAATCTTAAAAACATACAGACAGATACTCAGAGCAGTCGCCTCTGCCATACTTCCGCTCCATTAAAAACCCCTTGCCTGTAAACGGACCACACAAGGGAGATGAGGTGACAAAGTAACAGGCGAGGATGAAGCTCCGAGACGAACCAGAACAAGGTGTATCGCTCTAGTGGCGAAATCCGTCTTGGGACGCATTAGGAAACTGAGGCAGGACGTTTAGTGAATTGGTTGGATCCTAGGCTCTTTCATTTAAGGATCAGCTACGACCCAGATGTGCTCTGAGTTCTCGCAACTGCAGCAGGACGCCCAAAGAGCTGTAAGGTGAATGCGAGCCGAGGCAGGGGTGGTGGAGAAGGAGGTGTCTGGGAAAACTTCCTAAGTTTTTTAGGTTCAAGAGCGACGCAGCGCCGGAAACGGAGCGCCCAGCTCCGCGTGCACTCAGCCAATGGCTGCGCGATGCGCCGTCCAGCGGTGGCTCGCGCGGCACCCGTAGGGTGGCGGCTGTAGAGGACGCCATCCTCCAACGCTTCCACGCGAATGCCACGGCCACGTAGTTTGGCATGTCTTCCTGCATCCCTTCCCACGGTTAAAGCACCTCAGAGAAAAATCTTGTCTCTAAACTGAAGCGCTCGAACGCACCACGGGCGAACGTAGCAACATGGCCGACAGCGCAGAGGAAGAGCCGGAAGTTGGTCTGGTAGGCGGGACCTGGAGGCGGTCCTCGCGTGATAGGGGCGGGGCCTGCCTCCCGAGCTGGGTTCGCTGTCAAGTGTCTACGGCGCTCGCTCCTCAGGCGGCAGGGGCGCTCTCCGCCTTCTTCTGGGGGCTGGATCGGACCGGCTCCGCCCCAGCCAGGTGGCGTCTGTTCCCAGGTGCCCGCCGGACCTCCGGCATTCCGGTGCCGCAGGCCTGTGCAGCGGGTCAGCGGCGATGGAGGACGCCCCTGAGCGCACTCCTTCTTCCTCCGAGTCCACACAGGCTCCGGACCTGGCCAGAGAGCCCGAGGTGGCATCTCCCGGGGACTCGGAGGGCTGCGCCCGGCCTCTAGACACGGTCCCTAAGAAACTCTGTGGGTATTTAAGTAAGTTTGGCGGCAAAGGACCCATCAAGGGCTGGAAATGCCGCTGGTTCTTCTACGACGAGAGAAAGTGCCACCTGTATTATTCGCGCACTGCGCAGGATGCTAACCCCTTGGACAGCATCGATCTCTCCAGTGCGGTCTTTGACTGTAAGGCGGACGCTGAAGAGGAGGGCACTTTTGAAATCAAGACTCCCAATAGAGTTATTACCCTCAAGGTAAGTGGTACTCCTCACCCCCCAACCCCCTTTACAGCTCGAGCAAGTTTTCAGGGCTAATGCATGGTCACTGTAAGTTGACTCAGACGGTGCCCAGAGCCTGGAGCTGTCCCACTTAGCTTTCACACCATTTCCTTATTGCCTTCCCAGAGGCAAGGGTGAGGGATTCCTTTTATGCATCAAGAAACTGAATCATAGACAAAAGGGAATGGCTCAGCCCGGCATTCATTTACAACGATATGGTTCACTTTATGGAATCTCCCAGTCCTGTATCAAAACTTTGGTGGTGCTCAACTACCCAGTTTCCTTAACTTACTTCCTTGGTACTGAAGCCGTCAAGATACTGTGGTTGCATTTTTTGAGACCAAGATCTGATTCATGTCTTGGTGTTTTGGCCAACCAGAGTAAATGAAGACATGGGCAGGGGTTAGGAAGAGAAATATGTAAGCTCACTGATCGGCCTAGATTGTTCATCCAGGCATGTCTGAACTAGTGAGTTCTTAGTAAATGCAGTTTGAATAAACACATATGCACACACAGATGTAACCACAGGTCAGAACCTATCTATCATGTTAAGGGGAAGTATTCTGTCACCTAGCTGGGAAGACAGGTGTGGGCTTAGTTCTCTGGGCTCAGGAGTGCAGGGATGCAGGTCTTCCTTTCTACTGCCTGGTCTGTATCTCTCTATGTCCTCAACCAGCAGATGCCCAGATACTAGAATGCCTATATGTTTAGTCTCCTTCCGTGGCAGAGGGTGGCCGGCTGGCTAGGCTGGAAGGGGTTGGAGGTGGGGTTCCATTAAAATAATGAAAATCCAATTTTTAGGCCAGGAAGGATATTTTAGAGGTCATGTGGGCTTAGGTCTTGCGTTCCTTCCACAAGACAAGTGCTATTGGTCAGGGCCCTTGGCACAGGATTTTTTATTAGTCTATACATGTGCCTGGCTCTGTGCTAGGCTCTGGGGCGTGAAACAAGTCAGACTTGGTCAGCCCCACACCTTATTCTCAAACATCGTTGGGAGAACTGACAGGCATAGTTAAGTGTCTTATGGAGACTCTGTGAAGAGTTTGGACAGTAACAGCATGTTGACAAAGGGATCGGCTCCTCCACATGAGGAGGGGAGCTTTTCAGAAAGGCGTCACTTTAAACAAGAAATGATGGGCTTCCTGACGTGCAAAGGAGAAAGACGGTGATGCTGAGAGACCATACGTGCACAGGTGTAACAACGAGTCACAGGCAAGCCACAGGAGCCTGGCATACAGAGGTGCCCAAAGGATGGAGGTGAAGGGGGAGACATTGGAGAGTGAGGCCCAGGGGCTTGGACTTTGTCTCTAGGCTGTAGAAGTTGTCTAAGAGCCTTAAGCTAAGAGCGTCCAGTGAGGTTAGAATGTCCCAGCTCAGCCTGGCTGTTGGGCAGAGAACACATTGGGGTAAGAGGAAGCTGGTAACCAGAGAGCCCAGGAGGGAATGAGTTGAGCAGGAGCTGGGACCCTGGAGAGAAAGCAGATGACAGGGACGTTAGGCCAGTGGATGCAGGTATAGTAATTGGCTGGAGGCCTGGTTGCAGTAGTGCTGACAGAAGAGACCTCACGGTGAAGAAAACACCCAGATCCGTGCTATGTGAAGTAAACTCTGGCCAGATCTAAGGGCTGCCTCACAAACCCCAGTGTGAACTGAGATCACGTGCGCTGGCCTGTCACAGGGTCTCCAGCGTTAGCAGAGCCTCTGTCGGAGTAGTTGCCAGTGTGGACGTGTCAAATGAGTTCGGGAATAAAATGAAGTGCTTGTGTTTGTCTGGGGACTATCGGGTCATGGTGAAGCCTAAGAGAAACTGAAGCTCAGAGGGACAAAGTGTGGAAAGACAAGACTGGTAGATATCATTCTGTCTTATTGATGTCTTAGTAACAGGCTAAGGGACTATCATAGAAACACCCGTGTTCTAGTTGACTTTCTTTTTCCTTGAGAAACACCACAACCAAAAGCAATTTGGGGAAGGCAGGGATTTATCTGGCTTCCTTACACACCACAGTCTATCCCTGAGGGGCAGGAACTGGAGCAGGAACCTGAAAGCAGAGCCCATGGTGGAACACTGCTTACCGGCTTGCTTTCCCTGGTTTGCTCCTCTTCCTTTTTCTATAGCCTAGAGTCTAGTGGTTCTCAACCTATTGGTTGCAACCTCTTTAGGGGTTTCATATCAGATATTTGCATTATGATTCATAACAATAGCAAAATTACAGTTACAAAGTAGCAACAAAAACAGTTTTATGGTTGGGGATCACCAAACATAAGGAACTATGTCAAATGTCACAGCAGTAGGAAGGTCGAGAACCGCTGACCTTGACATACCCGAGTAGGGATGTCGGCACCACCAACAGTGAGCTGCGCCCTCCTACCTGAATTAGTGACTAAGAAAATGCCTCACAGGCATGGCTACAGGCCAGTCTGATCTAGACCGTTCTTTGATTAAGTCACCTTTCCCTAGGTGAGTCTTAGTTTGTGTCATGTTGACAGCTGAAGCTCACTATGACAACCTCTCTCCCTACCCAGGTCACACCTCATCTGTGGTCCTCTTGAAAGAGTGAGCTTGCCCTGGTTGCTCTGTAGCCGTTTGCCATCTTTTCGTAGCCTTGAGGCTGGCTGTCGATCCAGCAAGCCGCCCCTCACCTAAGCCCAGCAAAGCTTGTGCCTTTAAAATTACATTTAAAATAAATTTCCAGTCTCCAACTGGGAGACCTAGTTTTTGGGGCCTGAACCACTTGTATCCATCTGTGGAAAAAGACTGATCACTCTTGCCCTCTTCTCACAGGATCCAGCAAGCTAATGGATGTAAAAACAGCTGTTTAGTACATCAACTGGGAAACTAGACTGACATCAACTGCTAGTTTGTTTGCAGTGGTGCAGGATACTACATGTTATCATAGTGTGTGCGTGACTCTCCTGCCCCGAGTCATAGTCATGAGTTGGTATCTTCCTGCAACAGGAGGGATTACCTCCATCCCACAGAAAGTCATCGAAGACTTGGAGATGTCATTCAAGGAGAGCGGTAGTCACTGGGCCCTTCCAGGTCACTAGTCAAAGCTCTTCCTCCCTCGTGCACCTCTCTGTCTCTGTCCAGGGATTGCATTTGTGTGCCTGTCTTGTGCCAGGCGCTGGACTGAGCACTGTATTTCTTTTACTTTGTCTTCATAATCACTGTCTGTGATTGGTAGTGTTCTCAGCACAAAGCATTTGAGGAAACAGAGGCACAGAGACACTGAGGAGCCCCTAAGCAGGAAACCAGAGCCTGATTCTTTTTTGTGATGTTACAGAAGTGAATACACACACACACACACACACATACACACACAGAGTAGTGATGCTTTTTTCTGACACAACAGAGTTCCTAAGCCTTCTGTGACCTTTGTAGGCCAGGCCTAGGCCACCCTAAGGCCTGGGACCTTACTAACTAATGCTTTGCTTCTTAGGCTCCCACCAAGCAAGTGATGCTCTACTGGCTACAGCAGCTGCAGATGAAGCGCTGGGAGTTCCACAACAGCCCATCTGCACTTCCTGCTGCCCCTGCTGCCGCCACGGCTGAGAATGGGCCCACCCCGCACCTCAAGCTAGGTACCAATGGGCTGGACTCCAGCCACATACCCAAGCATTTGATAGCCAGGCCTTTCCCATGTTGCTTGGGAGTATGGGAGGAGCCCTCTGCCAAGAAGCAGAACCAGGAGTGAATGGGATGTAGGATTGGTTAGGACAGGAACGTGGGCTGTCTGCTTGAGTTCAGGTCTCAGCCATGGGTGATTTCAGTTTCATGGCCAGCCTGTCAGTTTCTTTCCCTTCCAAATGAGGTGAAAAAAGTTATATCCATATTCTTCTGAGGCTTAGCTGAATCCATATGCCTCAGATGCTTAGAGCAGTGTCTGTATAGGGTCAGAACCCAGAACACTGTAATACCCCTAAGACATCTCAGGAAGTTACACCTGCTCAGTTGTGAGAAGGGTTAATGAGAAAGTGCAGTGCTGGCTTCTTACACACTTCTGGGATGACTCCTACCTCAGCCTCGCTAGCACTAGGGTAATAAACGTGTGCCATCATGATCTGCTGTGAGTGAAGGCTTTTTAAATCCCAAGTTGTAGGATATCCCAACATGGAGAAGCCTGGGGAGTCACACTTTCTCCCACCACTGTGCTGTGTCTGGGCCACCCCACAGCTGCCACTGCCAGAGCATGGGTAATCAGTCAGGTCCCTGTACAGTCTAAAATGCAACCACTTCAGTTGACAGGCCAGTTAGCCAGGGCAGGGCTGTGGCCGTATGCCTCCTGGACCACAGTGCCTGGATGTTTCACATGTCTGACACTGAGCACACCTGTCTATGAGAGTCCCCCCTCCCTTGGAAGGTGTCCACTTGTTCTAACGGCAGGCCACACTCTACCCTTCCTCCGTCTCTATCAGCGGGTCCAATCGGGCACTGCCCTGGGCCTCTTACCCCTGACCTGCATGTCAGTTTTAGGTCCCTCACTGTTGCTCCTTAGGTTGACTCTCTCAGCTAGAAAAACCCAGCATTGTCATCTCCAGTGGCCTATTCCAAGTCCAGTGTCTGAACCTGACCCTGTAGTCTGAGTGGGCGTTCTAAAATGATAACCTACCCAGATGGGCAGCTTCTTGCCCGTTACTTAGGGCTCCCCCCCCCCCACCCTCGTTACATTTCTGCCAGCCCCTCAGAACCCATTATGTGCCCAGGATTTAGGAGGAGGGTCTCGTAACCCTGTTTTGCATGGTAAATTCCTGCCTATTCTATAAGGCGAGGCCCGTGTCCACTCATCTTGTCAACCTCTCCTTGGATGCATTCCAGGACCTTGTCCCTTAGACTCAGTGTAGGTCCTTGACACTTTTTCAAACACTGCAGAGAGAACTGTCACATGGTGTTCTGATTACCACATCCTTGTTAGTCTCCACCCACTAGCCCTTAAGAATAGGGACCATTTCTTTGTCACCTGTGTCCTTTGTCACCTAGTCCGTAGTGTTCAGCCTGGCACAGTGGTTATTTGCAGAGTGTATGTAAGGGTGAATATATTGAACTTTATGACTGAGAAAAGGAGTGTAAAGTGCAATGTTAGGTGCACAGGCCTAGTTCCTGGTAGCTGCACTAATCATGTGTGCCCGCTGTTGTTAGGCTATTATTCATCATAGAACCTGCATGCACATGTGTGCCAGCCAGTACTATCATAGCATGTATATTAACTATCACACACATATATAAATATGTATATATGTGTATATGTATATATGTATATCACTGTCACAGTAGTACATGCTGTCGTGCACAGTAATACTACTGCTGTCATAAGAACACACTCATGTTATTATTACCATATGCATGCCTGTGCTGGAGCTCTTGTAGTAGCATGTGCATGCTACTGCTATCAAAATAGTACCTACATGCTATTACTGCTGTAACAGTACACCCACACACTATCACTACTCCATAACAACTGTTCCTTTTCGTGTTGTGAGTAGTTATTAACTTCCTTGGGCAGCCTTGGTTTTGTTTTGTTTTGTTTTTTCTTTCTTTTTTTTTTTTTCTTAGCTATTAGACAGTATGTCATGTAGCCCAGGCTGGCCTTGAATTCACTCTGTAGCTGAGGCTATTCTGGAACTCCTAAGCCCCCTGCCTCCTCCTTTTCCCAGGCTCTGGGGATTACAGGCAGGCACCACCACATCCAGCTTCAGGCAGGATTTTGAATGGTTTCTTTTTACCTGTCCTTCTACTGTGGTTCATACTGACCTCTACCAGTCAGCCAGGCAGCCTTGTCTGTGTAGAAAATTATAGCCTGAGTTGCCACACTTGCCATTATGAGCTTCAGAGAAAAGCTGAGGGGAGATCTTCCTTCCTGTGTGTTGAACAGAAAGAACTAGGCTGGAAAGGCATGGTGTGGAACCCCGTGGGCCTCTTAAGCTGTGGCAAAACCTGGTCCCGGTCCCTAGTTCTATAGCTGTGCTTCAGTACACATGACTAGGATTGTTTGGGGTTAGCATTGCTTTGTCCATGGAGAAGGACATGCTGTTCTTATAGCCAGGGTGGTGATGTCCCAGGGAGAGCACTAGCTGAGATTCTGGAAGAAGATGTATGGATCTTCCCTTCTGACAGCCTTTCTATCCTATAGCAAGCCTGCCCTGCTGGACCCAGAGCCTGAGTGGAAACTTACTGCATCACGCATACACATATGCTCGCACACATGCAAAGGCCTTTATGGAGTCCCTTGTTTGTTTGCCTCCTCACTTTGTAGCCCAGGATGGCTTCAGTGTTACTATGTAGCCCAGGCATGCTTTAAAAACTCATGGTAATGGCATGTGCTACTATGGCTGACTCTTCCCGCTGCCACCCCCACCCCCACACTTCCCCCACGCCCCGCTGCTCCCCCTGGAGTCTTGAGCAAGCTGGTGAACCTTACAGTGGCTGTTTGGAGCATACTGCCCTACCTCAGCCCCTCCCCATCCTTCCTGAGGAAGCAGAAGGCTGTGCAAGACTCCTGATCCACTTCTGACTTTGAGTCACAGAGGCTGGGTCCCGTTAAAAAAAAAAAAAAAGCAGTCCCGTCACACCCTTGGGCAATCTGAAGGCGTGTTCTCTACAGCTTTTTAGCATTTTCATCTCTATTTTATACTTCACCTACACAGTTGCCTTCAGAGAGCCAAGAACAATCAGGAAAACTGACAGATTTCTATAATTACACATTGCCAGAGGAAGTCACAGCTTACGGGAGACATTCATAAATGTCTGTCATCAAAAACCCCATCCCATTTACCAGTATTGCACGAGCATGGGCAGAGGCCATGCTATTTAACCCTTTGTCTCCCAAGTGTTATTCTCATTTTATAGCAGAGGAAGCAAAGATCCCTGGTAAGGAAATGCCTACACTAAAATTCAAGCTGCAGCCTACAAGTTCACACCTCAGAACTGCGGGGGCATTCAGGGCTATACCAGGGAAGCAGCAACCTCCTGGCCTAGTCCCTCCTTTTGTGTGGGCAGAGACTTCTTTGTAGTGATGAGCCCAAGTCCTCGGGGAAGAGAACTCTTGAGAGCTGCTGGACATGCCTAGCATGACCCCCTTACTGGGGCCTTTCACCAGGCCTTGCACCATCAAATCCGTCTCCAGTGGGAAGTGCTGTCTCAGCATGGTAAGGCCACCATGTGTGCCTGCCCCTTTTACTCTTCATTAGCTGATGGCTTTCTAGGCACACCGCCCACTTCTCAGGAGCAGAGTGCTGCCACAGAGAGCAGAGTGGAAAAGGCAAAATGGCTGACTTGCGTCTGCGCTCATGCCACCTGCTGGCTTTGGCCTTCACCACAGACCTTATCCTCTCCCAGCTGCTCTTATTGGAGATACCCAAGGTAGTGTAGTGTAGCCTCAGAGTTGATCTCGGGTCACAGGCAGAGAAAGGGTGTAAGAGACCTGTCGCTGCCAAAAAAAAAAAACACTAAGAAACTTGGAGCTGAGAAAAACTGATTTTATTTGCTCTGAATGAGGGAGAGGGGAGGTGGTTGAAGTATTGATGGATAAGAAAATTTTATATTGAATCCGTTCAAAATCTGAAAGATTGGAGTCCACATTATGGAGCCATAATTATCCTTTCCTGTTTCCATGTCCTCTGACCTTGAAGAACACAGGGTGGAGAGCAGCCGTCTTGCTTGTTTTGGAAGCAAGGCCTGGCCTCAGATCTTCCAACCAAAGGCAGGTCTAGCACTTCAGGTTTTTGTTGAACAACAAAGCATGTGCACATGCACACACACACACACACAGAGAGAGAGAGACAGACAGACAGACAGACTCCCCTTCACACACAGAGATACACACACGTCCATACACATATACACAAATACATACATATTCTCCCCAGTCATACACATGCACACATACACCACACAGGCACACAACATAAACTGTGGCCCATCTTCCTAGCCACACCCCACACATGGCCTTCCCATCCAGTTACCCTGATCCTTGTTCAGAGATTCATCTCTGTTGCCCAAACCTTCACTCCTCACACCAGTCAGGAGTGGGCTCAGGCCTTGGGCTATACTCACATCCTCACAGCTGTACTCTTCCTCTTCTGGCTTGAGTTCGATAGACTGTCCTAGCCTCCCAGAGCAGCTCTGCCCCAGCTCCTGCCACCTGGGTCTTGAGTTGTGACTTCTTCCGCTGGCCTCCCTGTAGCCTCAGCACCCTGCAGCTCTGCTTCTTCTGACTTCTCCAGCCCTCCCTGAAAGCCCAGGTCATGTCTGGGGAGAGGGGGGTGGGAAGGAGGCCTCAAAATAATAGCTTTGAGTGCTGTTGCCAAATCAACTGACCAGTCTGTGCAGTTGACAGCGCCTGCCAGGAATTAGCAGTGTGTGACCTACTATTGTTTAAGCCATTACAGACAGGTTTTCTTGCATTTGTGGACAGCCTCCACCCCTACACTACCCACCTCCCAAGATGACCACCACAGTGATGGGTGCTTTATACCCACACCTTCTTTACAGATGTGGTGCACAGATAAAGTCCTAGAGTCAGAAGGTTATTTTTACTTTCTCTAACACTCTATTAACTTCTAGTCATGCCACATCCTTTCCCTTACACTTTGAATGGTGCTTTTTAGCCTAGATACTTATCTTAACATTAAACATTTTGAAGTCACTTGCTCTGGAAGAATTCTTGTCAGGATACTGGGGGAGGCAGTAAAGAAGAAAAGACAGCCATAGTTCATCTTATAAATACAGCCACTGTTAGTGCAGTGTTATGATCCACAGTTCACCTTACAGACACGGCCAGTGTAATGCAGTGTTA